ATGTGATACTGAAAACTGAATGGGGGGGGGGGGGCAGAGATAGAGGGAGCCTGTGTTTCCACTGTCTGTCAGCCTGTGTGTGTGTATCAGTGCATGTCCGTAAAAGAGAAAAAAAAGTGTGATAAACAGAGGAGGCAAGCCAGAGTGAGGCACAGGGGATCTGGAGGCAAGAAAGACAGTGGGGGAGGGGGGAATTATCTGTCTGAACTGCCCATGTCTGAGGGGGGGCGTAAGTCTTGTCCCCCCACACTGGTCCCTTTGTAATGATACACCTGGGACTCTCTGATGACATCATCTTTCCTCGCCCCTTGCGTTAATCAACAAGCTGCGGAGGCCGGCGCCAAAGAGGGATAGACCTCTCCTTCGCTCCAGCATTTCATTTAGACGAAGGATTCATAGACAGGAAAACCTCCACTGTCTAACTTCTCCATGCTTCATCTCCATCCGAAAATTGCTCTTTCATTGCCAGGCGGAATATAAAGAGGAGTCTCAATAATGGCACGCTGGGCTGTGAATGTGTCAAACTCAACAGGAGCTAAACAGTGTGAATGTTATAAACACATGGAGAGTATCCAGAGTAAACTTACCCCCTGTTTCAGATTGTCATTGGCCTGGTCCGCCACCTCGGACACGATCACCAAGGCAGCTGCAACACAAACACAGAGAGAAAGAGAGAGATTTATGCACGACTGAATTCAATAAAGACACACTCAGTGACTGTGATCCTACAACTAGGACCTGATACATGTCGAACAGCTGCACCATGCGTGTGACAGTATGTCTTTGACTACTGAAAAATCAACACTAATATTGTTCTAGTCAGAGCTCCATGCTGCAGGTTTACCTTGTGTGTCCTCATATTCTTTAGAATCAGGAGAGAGGTTGTTCAGGTAATCTGCAGAAGACACAGAGAGAAAAGAATAGTGAAAACATGAAAATAAGGCCCTCAAACTGATTATTTAAATACAGTTTAACGGCTGCAAAAAAATTGGTGACAATTTTTAAACTGTTTGCAAAGTGCCATTTGTTCAGTGCATGAGGCAAATGACATAATCCTAATACTCATGTCTTTTCTAGCATTTGTGAATTTAAAATGTAACTTTTAAAAGAAGAAATAACATTACATTTGAAAACTTCAAAAGATGAATGATGAATAAAGCACATCATTGCTCACTTCAAGTCAACAGTAGCTAATGCTGGCAACTGTTATTAGATTACTATGTATGTACGTGTGTTTGCGTGTTACCTGTGAGTAGCATCCGATATTGAAGTACTCTCACTATAACCTGCAGCAGCTGGTGCTTCAGTGGGACTTCAGCTTCTTCTGGGCTTTTTGTCTGCACACGCACACACACACACACACACACAAGTTAGATTTTTCAAAGAGGTAAATATACAGATATCAAAACAATACATAGGTAAAAAAAAATTGATAAAGAAAAGGTGCTTTAAACTTGAATTGTTAAACTGTATACACCACTGACACTATAATTTCGGATGAATAAAATTATAATCAAATTCAAATCTTCCTCAGTGTGATATCCCACCAAAGGACCCCTGGGTGTCCATAAAACGCACCCACAAAACCACAGACCTGTGTCTTCAAAACAAAGATAGCCTCTTTAATACGATGCTACAAGTCAAGGTCACAAGTGACAAAGGGAACACTCTTGGACTGGCTGACCTTCACACACCTTTCCAGCACACAAAAAACCCGAACAACTCCCATTCTTCTTCTCAGAGTAGTCATTTGCAGGTGAAAGGGGACAGAAATTGGCGCAATCAAAGAGAGCCTTTAGAAAATCAATCACGATCTAATTGTCTGTGACAGGTATTTATGCCCTGAGCGGTAGAGAAGCAACGGGGGACTGGGCACACACACACACGCAGTCTTTTCTAATCCAATGAAGTCCTGTCCAACATTAGAGAGGCACAGATAGTGCCCTGCGGGAAACAACATCTTCATCTTATTTACACTGCACACACATACATAGACGAGTGCACACAAGAAGCCACACGGGCACACGCTTAACTCATCTCAAACGCACTCACAAACACATGCGATATATTATTGATGCAACCCTCCACACACAAGCAGATACAAACACACACACAAGACCTTGGGCTGGTGATGAGATAACACTGATGAGGTCTGTTAAGGGGAGGGACGGGATGCGAGTTAAACACACCACTCTTTGTCTTCATTATCACAATCTGGAGTGCAGGAGTCAAAAAGTAAAACACAGAGCTGATGCCTCTTTTAATGAGCCCTTCACGACTACTCGCATTCTCTTATTGTTTCTATCTCTCTTTCTTTTTCCTCTACTCAGCTTTACTCCTCAGCAACAACCTCTGTTTGAGTTTCTCTCACTTTTCTGTAACCCCCCCCCCCCTTTCCTCCTGATCGCTGCATGATGCATCGAGTACAATAATAACCAGCTCTCCATTATAAAACCCACTTGGCTTCAGAACCTCCGCTCTCCTCAAGTGTTGCTTGGAAATTGTCATCCAATTGACACTTGTTCGGAAGAAGTGGCTTTCCAGAGATGTTAATTAGCGTGTGGTTTGTTTGGGTGAGCGAGCCAAATGGAGGAGGAGAGAAGAGGGTGAGGGTGTGATGCGTCGTGCTGGGAGATAAACACACACGCACGGACACACAAACCCACCTTACAGACTCTGTCACGGCCAGCTGATTTTCTGCCTGCACACACACAACTGATCTAATTGGGGAGTTGTAAAGGAGGCTGCTTCTCTAATTAGCTTCTGTCTGCCTCATTGCCCAGCTGCCTTTACAAGGAATTCACTCCATCGCTCTCTCCCTCTATCGCTCTCTGTCCACCTGCTGCACAGCCTCGTCTTCTCCTCCTGGGCTTCTTGCACAAGAGGAAACACAACGGCTTTACACAAACACAAGCTATGACATGAATATAAATCCAAACTGGAGTGCTTTGGAAAGAGATTTCAGGAAAAAACGGTTTCACAAGATCCACACAATTTGTGTATGGACATGCCCCTGCAAAACAATCAGACACAAATACACAAAGGCGCAAAAACTCTGACAAAAAGGGGACACAAACACACACACACACACACACAGAGGCGCAAAACTCTCACAAAAAGGGGACACACACACACACACCGTGGCTGTGTTGGGCCAATGTTTATAGATGCGGTAAACAAGCAACTGGCTGTGGAGAGGAGGCTTTAATCCTGTAAGGGTCTAGCTCTGATCTGATCAGGGTCTGTGGCTACTTCATCACTGTCATCACCACATCCACAATGAAATTACTACCACTTATACTGCTAGACTTTGGCTTGTAGCAATAAAGACGGAGGGGCAGGAGGGTGAAGAAGAAAGAGGGATATTGAGGCAGGTAAGGGTTTATGTCTTGAAACAGAGAAAGCAAAAATTGCAGCTATTGATGAACAGTTTTAAATTTGCAAAAATAGCTGCGAGCAGGAAATGAGAACATTTACATCAGCATGTCCACTACTGTGAAGTATGATGACTTGTGAAGTGTCACACAGTCGGCAGATAAATGACTGTCACAGTAGTAGGTGTAGTGTATCCTGTGACCTGCACGATCCTCCTTGCTCTCCCTTGGCCCTCCTTCTCCCTCATTACAGTGGGGTCACACACACCCTGCAATTCCCATGGCAGTGCTCTGATTCAACGCAGCATCCATCACACACAAACACACAATTCCTGGTTGTGGGAGGTTGGGGAGGACAGACCCTATATTACAGGTTTATATGGGAAACATAAATACTATATGCAGTGTGTATATACTGTGGCAAGTATGAATCTGCCAGTGAGTGGACTGAGAAAAAGTTATTGAATATGCCTCTGGGTGTTAATTTAAGAGGTGTGAGATGAATTTTTTAGCATTTATATGGACACAAGTGAGGAGTAGCCAAATTTTTATTGTTTACTGACCTCTGACCTTGAGAAAAAATACACTTGTGTCCTTAGATAAGATGATATAACATTTATCGCTCGTTGCAAATCAATCGTTTTATGGTGACTCCAGATAGCAATTAGTGCTTTATGGTGTGAGAAAAGGGACCAATATCAACTTCATGAAGCTAAAATGAAGTGGCAAATTATTGACTTTGACCAAGGTTATAGGCTAGGGCTAGGGCAGTAAGATGCTAAAGGTCAGTGTTTCTTGAAGTTACAGTTTAGAGTCTCTATCTCTCACCTGCACTCCCTTCTATTTACATTAACTTCACTAAAGTCTGGCAGAGCCAAAGTTTTTCGGTAAGGGGCAGCTGCTGCTGAATATTCATGAGCACAGACAGTTGGTGCCTTGTCCTTTCGCTTTACTTATCAAACTAGAAACGCCTGAAACCATTGTGCCAGCCACTCACAGTGAATCAGAGTACAGGGTGGAACTAGTAATGCGTACATTTGAGAAGAAAGGTGGTGAATTGAATAGGTAACTTTGTAAAACCCAAACTTTAACATAAACAAAAGCCTGAGAAAGGCCTTTTTACAGATCTGTCTTACACAAATTG